GGTTTTTAAAAGAAAAAGAATTAGTCTTGCTCACTCTGAGGGTATTTGGCCCACTTTTGTACTTTGACCAGAATGAAGTGGTATAGAAGCAATAAAAACTCAGGGTTCTAACAAAGTTCATTGTGATTCAGAGAGATAAGCTTCCGGGAAAATCAGCACATTGATAATATATATCACCAAGATAATAAAAATATGCAGTATTGTGTACGAAATAATTCAAATCTAATATATAGTTCCAAGACATTGGTCAGGGTGTGTGTGTGTGTGTGTGTGTGTGTGTGTGTGTGTGTGTGTGTGTGTGTGTAATACAGGTAAACATACATATATGTGTATAGTAGAACACATGCATTGAAGCATTTTAAAGTGACATAAATTGATGCACCTTTGTGGGTGGTTCCACATCAAAGTAGCATTGGATTTATATAGATGTCATGTAGTTCTCATACAAAATGTTGTGAATATCACCAACAGTGAGCACCTAGTAATTTGTTTACTAATTTTCTGAGTAGTGTTTAATTTATCTAAAACAAGATGGTGATACACCATCCTGGCATGGCAATTGCTGCTGGGGATGAGGTGATAGTCCTTAGTTGCATTTCTAGTTATCTACTAGTTACAGTGCTTGTCAGAGGTTGCTTTGGTGCTCACCAGGGGTTTCATTTCTTGGTCGATGGTGCTTGCATATCTCAGTGCTCATTGGGAGTTACATTCCTTTGGTTTTGGCACATCCTGACTAGTGCAGCTAGAAATTGCTTGTGGCAGTGGGATCACAGACAGGCAGCAGAGCTGCTGGTATTATGGCCCTGGGGAAAAAACTGTTGACCTTACGTGTTTGCTAGACTGGCACGGTAAGCCAATAAATATCTGTTCCTCTGGGCCGTCTTTTTTAATTCTTTCACTGTAGTTTATGTCCACATTCACTGTCTCAGGTTTTTGTTTTCTTTTGTGGTATACCTGGTGGTGCTCTGAGACTCTCCTGGCTCTGCTTATGCTGGGGTGACTCCTAATTGTGCTCAGAGATTAAACCTATACCTCTTGCCTGCTCAGAGATTAAACCTATACCTCTTTCTTGAGCTGTATGTCCAGCCCTGGCTCTCTCAATTTTTATAGTAATCATGGATAGACAGTATTGGGATTAGTTTGTAATTGCTGCAAACAAAAACCAATTACAGCCAAATGAGCTAGTTATGACAGTGCCATAGAAATAGACAAAGTCTGTAACCTCAAAAGGGAATAAAAATTAATGCAGAATATAGTACTTACTCTTCTTTAACCTGGGGGGATAATCAGATTTACCATCCTAATTAAGATTAAAATCTACTGTTGCAAATATACATGGAGGTTTACTTATTCACTCAGACAAAAACTGTTACAGCAAGCTTTCTGAAAGACAAGAGTAATAAATGAAAAACAAGCCATAAGGAATGCGTATAATTAAAAAAGAAGGAAGAACATTGAATTATAGGGGCCAAGGAATGTGGAACTGGGTGGTTGCCTTTTTATAAATTCTTAGCTTTATGGGATATTTGTCTCAAAACACAAACACCCCCTCCCTGCCAGCACCCCCTATCGATTAACTCACTGGTCCTACTAGGTTAAGAATCTTTCTGTTTTGTGGACTTCACTTAATCTCCCTTGGAGTCCTTGGATTTGGCAGAGCCTCCTCGTTCTTTTCTTGGCTTCCTGTTTTCTTTTCTCTTTCATTCTTTTTAATAGTTAGCTTTCTTTCCCTACCCAAGGGCCAAATGACTGTCTTCTCCCTAGGGAAAAGGATTACTGTTTTTTTGGGGTTTTTTTAAGGTCTCTATCTGTGTATGTGTGTGTGTTGTGTGTTTATTGAAAGTAGCTTTGTTAAAATGTTAGAGTAAAATATCTGGTCATCTTTTCCTTTTTCAGATTTTCTTTCAGAAGTTAGGCTAGGCACATTATATCTTTTTCATTTGAAAGTATCTTATTCTAAATAGATTGAAGGCCTTGCTTGCAATTTGTTTCTACAGTTATTCGTCCATTTTCATTTCAGTTGATAAAAACAATTGCTAGAACCTAACATACTGTGTTATGGTCAGTATTCCTAGAATAGGACCTATGTTGAGTGGGTGGATGAATGGATGGATGGATAGATTTTAAAGAAGTCTTTCTTAATCATAATTGTGGTGATAAATATGACTTTTTAAATTTAGGACTAACTACCTATAGATGACCAAAAGGCATGGGAAAAAATCACTTATCATCAGGGAAATGCAAATCAAAACAATGAGATATCATCTCACACCACTGAGACGGACATGCATCACAAAGAACAATAACCAGTATTGGCATGGATGTGGGGGGAATGGGACTCTTTCCCACCATTGATGAGAATTTCTACTGGTTCAGCATTTTTTGGAAGGCAATATGAATGCTTCTCAGAAAACTGGGAATTGAACATCCATATGACCTAGTAAGCCCACTTCTTGGCATCTGATTCAAGGGCCCTAAACTATTAAACTCTTTCAGAAAATGTATTTGCACTACTATGTTCATTGCAACACTATTCACGATAGCCAAATCCTGGAAACAACCTGAGTACCCAAGAACAGATGATGAGATGAAGAAAACTATGGTAGATATACACAAACAATGCTGCTCAGCTTTAAGGAAAGGTGAAATCAAGCAATTTGCTGCTATGTAGATTGAGCTGGAGAGTATCAGGCTGAGTGAAGTCATCCAGAGAGAGAGAGAGACAGAATGATATCTCTTACATGCACGACATAAATGAATGGAGTCGGGTAATAACAAATGCCCAGAGGCAACAGAAACTGAGATCTGGTCATCAGTAGAAAGTTTACCGTGGATGGAGTGTGTGTGTGAGGGCGGTGGGGGGTGGGGGGATGACAGTGGGACAGGGATGGAAAGAAGCAGACACTGGTGGTGGCAAGTGTGGTGCTGAAATGTTTCGTGCATGAATGCCTACCATTAGAAGTTTTAGAAGGCAGCTATGCTCACTATACCACCAACACTACCAACTTGTTTTGTAAAATAGAAAAGTGACCATAAAACCATATGCTGTATTACTTTTTATTACTAAAGCCAGAAAGTAATAGGTTGTGGTTCTATATACTTGTGATTCTAATACTTTCCTAGATATTAAATCATGTTAAAACTGCACTGACTTAAAGTGAAACAATATTAGGCACTTCCAGTGAAAGAGTGGAAATCAGAATAGCTACTAAAGCTGATTATAACAAAATAGCATCTCTTAGACTTCATCAGTCGGATAGTGAGGTTTATTTATTTTTTTTTTTGCCTCATTTCCAGGGAAGATTTATTTGATTTAATAACCTGTCTACTCATTTACATAGATAGAAACAGTAATGAAGTCCTCTCAGTTTGAAGATTTTACTATCTTTTTTTTACATAAGTCTTTTGTTTGGAGACCATACCTGGCAGTTATCCTGTGCTGCTCTTGGCTCTCCATTCAGGACACCATGCAGTGCCAGAGATTGAACTGGTTCAGCTGCAGATAAAGCACACACCTTAAACCTTGTACTATTTCTCGAGGCCCATTCTTCATAAATCTTTTTTTTTTATTTTAGAATCTGACATTGTTTGGGCTGGAGCAATAGCCTAGCAGGTAGGGCATTTGCCTTGCACATGGCCGGCCGGGCTGACCCGTGTTCTATTTCTCCGCCCCTCGGAGAGCCCGGCAAGCTACTGAGAGTATCTCGCCCTCACGGCAAAGCCTGGCAAGCTCCCCGTGACGTATTCGATATGCCAAACACAGTCACAAGTGTCACAATGGAGACGTTACTGGGCCCACTCGAGCAAATCAGTGAACAACAGGAGTGACAGTGACAGTGACAGTGAAATTGTTTGATATCTAATCACTTAGATACAAATTATAATATATATAATTGCTAGGAACTTGAGGGATGGACAGATGATTCATATTTAAGTATCTACTTTGGGGAAGATAAGAATGTTTTGAAACTAGATAGAGGTGAAGGTTGATGAACTTAACGCTTTTTTATTCCATACCATCCTTATTGTCAGAACGTATACTATAGCTTAGAGGATAGCATCTTCCTTCCTGTAGTTATTTTGGTCATAAAATTTTTCCTGAAATTTGTGACACTTGCTGTGAAATGAGCACTAAATGAGTTAACTGCTGCACTAACAAGAGTAAACTAGGATTTTGCCCAGCAAACGGGAAGAATGATCACAGTGCTTAAAGCTAAAACCAAACACCTATGTATGTATAAGTTCACTACCAGTGCTTGCTAACTGGTAGGTCACTAGAGAATAGCACCTGAAGTTTAATAGTATTATAACATCTTTAATTTAATTCTAAAAACTCATATTCAGAACTTATGCTCTTTTTCATTTTTTACAATTTTTTGAGGAGTTTTTTTGGCCACAACTGGCAGTGTTCAGGGAGCTACTCTCAACTCATTGCTCAAGGGTTGCTCCCAGTGGAACTCGGGGCCATATGGTGGTGGCAGTCAAACCCGGGTCTCTCAAACACAAAACATGTACTCAATCCATGAGCTTTTTCTCTGACATTATCATTTTTAACAAAAGCAGGAAATTTTTAAATAAGTATTATTATTTATCAACTCATTTCTTTTAGTATCTAGATATATTTTATCTGCCATTGATTTAAAAGTATTGAGTAGGTTGGTCTATGCATACCGTTATTCTCTTTGTAACACTATCAATTTTGGTTGTCAAATACTGTCACAGTAGTGCTGGAAAACAGTATTGGAGTTTGTGAAAAGCGCAAGTATAGCCATACTTATTTTCAAACTACTTTCCCCAGTCTATCTGTAGTTCTCAAATATATCCAAACTTTGGTAGTTTGTTAAGTATACAACATTTCTGTGGACTGTCCCTAAAAGTTGATTACTCAGTCATTAATTTTGTATGTTACAGGGTTTTTATCCTATGAAAACACTTTTAGAATTATATTTTATGTTTATTGTTAGCATGGACTCTCAACATTTGTCTTATCTTTTCTCTAGAACTGTCAAGTAATCCACCTCTAGCAACCATCCTTATTCCTCCCCATGCTCGGATTCAAGCCGCTGCTTCAACCCCTACAAATGCCACAGCAGCCTCAGGTAAGAGCACACAAGCCTTTTCTATGAAAACAATGTTGTTGTTGTTGTTTCTGAGACCCAGTTACCTCCATTTTATTTCATTTGATGAATAAGAACATTTTCTACCTTCCAGCTATGAAAAACAAAGTACAACCAAATGAACAAACATAAATAAAATGTTGATTTACTTCGCCCCAAAAGCACAAAACAATGGACCCCATAATAATTGTGGTGTAAGAATCTTGTTATACTAGTGAAGTAAATAACTTTACTTTTAAAAGTCATGCATTAGGACCATAGAGATAGTACAGGGTTTAGAGCACTTTTCTTGCACTTGGGCAACGCCAGTTCAACTCACAGCACCACGTATGGTCCTCCAAGCCCCGCCTAGAGTGTTTCTTCACTATAGAGTTAGAAGTAAGCCTTGAACACTCCAAACAGAAACAAACAGAAAAATCCCAGAAATTTTGCATTAAGTCTTAAGGTTGCGTGCTGTCATGAACTTCCTGATTTGTACTTACCAAATTAGATGCTTTGAGCAGAAAGCATTTACACAAATGTAATTAATGATACTGAAGATAATTCATTTTATTTCTAGTGTTCTGAATATAAATTATAACTATGGGAGATGAATTCTACATTTTATAAAAAGTATGAATTGTTATAACTTAATCGTTTGTGAGGGCCAAAACTGTAGTGCTAATTTCTTTAGGATTTTGAGCAGACCATAACAAGATCTTGTCTATCTAAAAAATCCTATAGTGTTTCCCATGGTAGAACTTGGGTACACTGCTGTTCCTTAGCCATATCAATGGCGGAGGATTTACTGAGTATCACTGTCTCACATTACAGATACTCTGAAAACACCCAGTTCTTGAGTGAATTGAAGCCTCTCTGAAGAATTGAAGGGTGCTATTTGTAATGAAGTTAGAAAGTAGGTAGCACCATCAGGCTCAGAGTTGCCCCTTTTTTCCTGTACAAAAGCAGGTGCAAGAGCTGATTTCATTTTCTCTAAATCGTCTTAATGTTATTGAGCTGAGCTGAATCAGACACATGTTTGCCTAAGTCTGGTGCCGGAAGGAAGAGCTTTCAGTATTAGTACTTTGCGTACTCCTATAATATCAAAACCACTTCCTGTTGTCTAATACAAAGTTGTTTTTTCCAGTTTTAGGCTTTTAGAACATTGCTAATAAAAATTAAAAACATTTCTAGTCCATTTGACTTACCTTTGTTCTAGAAAATCTAGAAAGATAGGTCTTTCATTAAGGCTATAGTCCCGTCAGCATCCTATTTCTGGCAGTTTCTTGAACTTGATTGGTTTATTTGGTCTTAATAGTGCTCTTAATGTATCTAATGAGTGGCACTGCTCTACTAGAGTAATATTATAAAAATCAAATATGTGCTAAAATGTGCCTTAAAGGTTTTAAGTGTTAATTTTCATTTTATAAGTTATTAGAATAAGGAAAATTACTTGGGTGAGCTATTTGTTTCACTAATTTCTAGTTTTGTTAGAATTACTTATGATTGTGAATAAAAATAAGAATTACAAGTTTGGGATTATATGTATTTCTTGTTTAATTTTTGTGATCACACCAGCTGTGCGCAAGACTTCTTCTGGTTCTGTACTCAAGGCTCACTCCTGACTGTTCTCAGGGCATCAAACATGGACCTGCTGGGTGGAAGACAAGTGTTCTACCCACTAAACTTTCTCTCTCAAACCAAGTTTTGGCTTATTTTAAATATTTTTTTTTTTTTTTTTTTTTTTTTTGCTTTTTGGGTCACACCCAGCAATGCACAGGGGGTCACTCCTGGCTCTGCTCTCAGGAGTCACTCCTGGCAGTGCTCAGGGAACCATATGGGATGCTGGGAATTGAACCCAGGTCGGCCGCGTGCAAGGCAAACGCCCTACCCACTGTGCTATCGCTCCAGCCCCATTAAATAATTTTTTTCCCTTTTTTTTTGTTTTTGGACTGTACGTCACCATGCTCAGGGGTTACTCCTGCCTCTGCGTTCAGGAATCACTCCTGGTGGTACGGGGACCATATGGGATGCCGGGGATCGAACACCTCGTTGTATGCGAAAGGCATAACACCCATAATAAAGTTGAGTAATTTTCTTTTGGGGCCACACTAGTAAAAAAACCAACTATAGGACCAGATACATGTAAGGATATGCTGATATCGATGAAGGGATTGATATATTGCCTTACTGTCTGCCTATATACATATGCATGGGTGTAAATAAGAGGTTAGCTGTGTAAAACATTAGAACAATGTTTTCTTTAGTCTCTCTTAGCTTTAGTCCCCTTATTATATGACAGGTGTAGCAACAAATGCCTGGCTGAGTTGTGAGACTTAGAATTCAAAGTGTACAGAGGGCTTTTATTTTGCCTAATCACCTGATCCTCCTTAGGATAGACGCCATTGGGCTACACTAGCACGTGACAGGGATGAATGGAGTTGTTACTGGCGCCCACTCGAGCAAATCGATGAGTAACGGGATGTCAAGTGATCAGTCACCTGATAGGCCTTCAGTACAAAGAAAACTGCTATACTGTTTTTATTGATATTATTTTTTTAATTGTTATTGTTACTTGAGGACAGAACCAAACATTAAGAACCAGGCAGATGGAAGGATTTGACATCCATCCTCCAATGAAGCAAGAGTAGCTCTTGTTTGCCAGGATAAATGGATACCCCATCTCTATCCAGGCAATAAGGGAATGCATGCAGACCTGGCTGAAAACTTTCTACACATAGCACTTCTGGGTTGCTCCAGGATACAAGTAAATAATTTGGGGGAATTTTGTGGCCAGGCATGGGGTGGTGGGAATGTCTCATGTAGTGCTCATGAGATCCCCAGGTCCCTCTTGGTGAGTCCTAGCCGAATAAACTGTCTTAAATAAGGAAATTCAATTAGTAGAGTATGGACATCAAATAATATTTTAGAACTGAAGCTACTTTTAGTTTTTGACTAAGCTTTATTAGCCTCTTCCCACTAGCTTGAAGAATATACCTTCTAGTCATCTAAAATCTAAAATTGTTTTGTTTTAAAAATGTAGAAAATTGGTTTATATAATTAAGATGCAAATTTCAGAAAGAGCATAATGTCCCTGAAATTTTCATATGATCAATTATAGTTTCCCCTGATGCTCAGCAACATTGAAGTACAGGTTCTGTCAAACATATTTATGTCTTGAATAGTAAAACCATAAGAAGACAGACAGGATCCTAGAAAGAAAACAAGGGGTGAGAAGAGAGTGAGGAAGTAATGGGTTAACAGGCATCAGTGCTTCAGTTATATCAGTGATATGAGTGAGGGATATAGCCATATATCCAAAACACAGACTCAACAGAACTGAAAACGAGATCTAAGTGGCAACCACTGAAACTTGATAATGGACCTGTCACGCTGACAGATGGAGTAGAGATGGCGTTGGGTTGGGGAGGAAATCTGGGAACACTGGTGGAGGGATTGGTTTTGGATTATAGTATGACGAAAATTCTACTCTCAGTAACTTTGTAAATCATGGCTCTTTGAGAATGATTTTTAAATTAAAAAAAATTATAGAATAACACCAAAATAAAAGAAGACAGGTTTTAGACAACTGGCACTTCCTGCGAAGCTTTTCATGTTGTTTGTAGCTGTCTTACAAAAGAATGGAATTTTCTTACTTTTAGGTTTTTTTACTGTTTATTATATAAAAAAAGTTCAGAGACTTAGGGGAAGCCAAGTATTTTTGGCCCCGCTGTTCGAGTGTTCCCTGATGCAGAGATAGTATTGGGCCCTGAACATCTCTGGGTGTGGCCAAAAACAAAAAAGTTCTTATTGTTAAGCCAGAGAAATAGTAATAATTAAGCCAGAGAAATAATTTTTGGCCCCGCTGTTCGAGTATGTCTTCTCTAAGATTTGGTTCTGTAAAAGATAAATAGTAAATAAAATTTATTTCCTCCATTGCTGCTTCCGGAAAAGTAAAGAATAAGTTAAGAAAATGAACTTTTTCTTATCCAACTTGTGACTTGAAAGTCATGTTGAAATTACTCCAGGAATACATGGTTAATTTTTATTCTCTGTTCTCTCCAAAAGAACTTTGACCAGTACAATAAAGTAATTTTTTTTCTCCTGTCTTTAAAATGGTAAAGATAGTGCATCTGCTCTAAGGCAGTGATAGTTGGAGGGATGGGGTCCGGATGGGAGATGTGTGCTGAAAGTAGATCAAGGACAAACATGATAACCTCTCAGTATCTATATTGCAAACCGTAATGCCCAAACAGTAGAGTTGAGAGAGTATGGGGGAAATTGTCTGCCGTGGAGGCAGGGGGAGGGTTGGAAAGGGGGAGTAAACTGGGGACATTGGTGGTGGGTGGTGGGAAATGTGCACTGGTGGAGGGATGGATGTTTGATCATTGTATGATTGTAACTCAAACATGAAAACTTGTAAATATATCTCACGGTGATTCAATTTTTTAAAAATTAAAAAAAGTGCATCTGTCAAATTTGAGGACATTAATACAGAAAACTATTCTTGCAGATATTTCAGCTAATCTTTTCTTGTATTGTTCTCATGGTTCTCGGGTAGTTTCTACAGGTGATGATAAGCATCTGTTGAAACGGGTTATAATGTCTAAGGGGTCATCAAAATTCATAAGTTTTTTTTATTTTTAACATTTCTCTCAATTTTTATGTTATTATTTTTTTTAGACTTACAAATATTTGTGCTTGGGTTTCAGTTATACAGTGATCAAGTACCCATCCCTCCACCAGCGCCCATCCTCCACCACCACGGGTCCCAGCATCCCTCCCACCGCCCATACCCCCCATCCCACCCTGACTCTGTGGCAGGGCATTCCCTTTTGTTCTCTCTCTCTTCTTTTGGGTTCTGTGGTTTGCAAGAGAGGCATTGAATGGCAATCATGTTTGATCTATAGTCTACTTTCAGCATGCTTCTCCCATCCTGGGAGGATCCTCCCAACACCCTTTATTTGGTGCTCCCTTCTCTATCTGAGCTGCCTTTTCCCCTA